TACTAGTAGTAAGAATAAGAATAGTAGTGCTCTTGAAACATAGAGCTGCCCTAAGTTTTGAGTGTTTTCTAGTTCGCTTCGGTGCGCCATAGGCTTGTCTGGTCTCAGTTTGTCGCACCTCGGGCTTGTAACCGATGGCTCAATCTGAATCTTATCTTGGGCCAGCTCTGGTTCTTTGATTGAGGCATGACACACGACAACTGCCCTTGTCTCTTGGGTCGGGTGCCTGTTAGATTCCTGCCTTCCTGCATGTGGTTCTGTTTGCATTTGTTACATGGTTAGCGCGAAGTCTAAAAGAAAGCCATATTGCAGAATACAGCAGTGGTCTTCGACTCCAGTAACCTTCGCCCCTGCAACCACAAGCGCCCCGACGCCCAAGCCCCAACATCCTAATAATTCCGAGATCCCCAAACCTGTCATCCGAAAGCCCCAAACAACAACTCGCAGAGCTGTTATCCATCGAAGCAGCGACCCACCACATCCTGAAGTAGAGCCACCGGACCGGGCTGCGAAGGTGAGGGCGAAGAGCTCTTCGATGCCAGCAATGACAGCGAAATGCAGTCGATTGCGTCGGAGTTGAATCAGAAGCTCTGCTTCAGTCTGCATGTCCTCTACACGCACGCAGTATCTGTCTGTATCTGTCCGTGTCTGTCTGTATGTCTGTCTGTCTGACTGACTGATTTATCAGCCTGTCGGTCTGTCAGTCTGTCTGTCTATCTATCTAGCCAGATAGTCATCTGTCTGTCTATTTATCAGTCTAGAGAGACATACATACGCAGGCACGTACGCATGCAGACAGACAGAGACAGGTAGACAGACAGACTCTGCAACTTGCAGGGGGAATAATTTGGTACATTTTTTCACATCCGCTTTCTGCTTGCAGAAACTCTCCGGGGGATTGGTTTGTCAAATGCGGTTGTGAGCTGCATGCCCAGATGTTCTGTTTCCTTTTTCCTGTCATTCATGTCCTTTTACTTTCCGGCTTTCTGACCGGGGAACCATATCTTCTTTAAGAGAGCTCCCTGCTTGTTAATATTTTCACCCCTTCCTACAAAGCCCCCGAAACAGGGGTGCGCCATTCGGCGGGTGGGGCCTGACTCATCCCCTATGCCCCGGAGACAACAAGACAAGGCAGGCAGGCAGGCAGACAGACGGACAGGCAGACATGCGTACATGCATGCATGCATACATGCTGGTATATGTACTTACGTGCCTGCCTGCCTACCTATGTACCCACCTGCGACCTACGTACCTACCTACTTCCTGCAAGCCTGCCTGCCTGCCTGCCGACCTACATGCAAACAGACTTAACTTATTACATATGTACACACGTAGATACACCTGCACATAATAAAGCTTACCTGACTATATACATATACCTTCGCATTTGGATATGCAGTCCTATGCATAAACGTACACATATACATTTGCATACATCTACAGATGCATGTATATACCTCTTCGACATTGTGCATCAGCTTTCAAGTATGCTACACACTGACTTAGGTGTCCAGTTTCTGTTAAATACTCTCTTTTGACTACGTCAGGTCATGATGTTACGTTAGACACTTCCGCATGCATCATTGTCATATACTTGTATTTCAATTGCTGTCTCATCTTCGACTCCATATGCAGACACTGTCATCCATTTGCGGGTGTTTTGCCCTCAGCAGACGGACGGGAGCACTCGCCGAGGACTGGACGTCTTTGGCGCCTCTACCATGTGACGTCGCCCTCGATCGGTCCAAAGATCTTGCGGGTCGGGAGCCAGAACCTAAACCCTAAAGCCTACTGAACCGTACACCCTACGTTCAACCCCTTATGAAGCCTTACATGAAACCCTATAAGAGTCCTTATAGAAGTGGGAAGTGCTCTGAAGTAGAGATTTTCTCTGTAAAGGGCTCCTAGCACTGCGAGTAGGGTGCAGATCTTTAGGTTGAGTTTTGGAGAGAGCCCCAAAACCCTCGGAACCCTGCAGCCCCAAATGTAGGGTCGTGGCATGCTCTCGGCTCCCTTGGGTGCATGGAGCCGAACTCGAACATCTGTAGAGTTCAGGTGCAGCTTCCCCTTGCTCCCGGGTTTAGGGCTTATAAATCCTGAGTATTCTAGGCACGTGTCTACTCGAAATCCTTGTCCTCCCCAGTGTTTTTCTGAGAGTCACTGGTCCATACTGGTCCAACAAACACAGATGCAAAGGAGAGATCGATCTTCCCCCAACCCTTGTCTCGCTTGAAATCTGATGACAGCAGTCATTGAAGCAGCTTCTGAACATGGACAAAGCCCTTGCCCCCCCGACAGGAAGGCTTCCGCTCTGGCCACGCAGGCGGGCGCAGTGATTCCTTTTCCTTAGGTGTCCCTGTAGTAAATACGGCATGTATCATAGAGAATGCTATAATATGTTCTTGCTCTTGAGGGTAGGAAAGCTTCTCGTCTCGGGGAGGCTGGTGTGGCGGGGCTATCTACTTCGGCAACACAGCCATGGCTCCTGGGCTCAGATGCAGAGGGCCCTAAACCCCTAAACCCCTAAACCCCTAAACCCTAAACCCCTAAACCCTAAACCCTAAACCCGAAACCCCTAAACCCCTAAACCGGGAAATCCGAGGAGACTCATCATAAAGCTGTCGGCTCGGAGTCCCACCAGGGCTACATGATCGAGGCCACGATGGGGGGTCAGTTTTTTTTCAAAGAGGGTTTTTATAAAATCCCTCTTTTTTTTGTGGTCCGCGTTTATAAACATTCGTTCGGGTAGATGACGGCCGGGGGCTTGTTCTAATGTCAAAGTCGCACGCGTCTACCACACTGCTTCTGCAGTCGTCGCCCGGCCGACTCCGATGTGAGGG